CAGGGAATCTCAGATAGGAGAGAGCTGACCCACTTCTCCTCTCCAATCTTGGCAGGGAGGTCCTGGGGGAAGACAGCAGCACCTCGGCAATGTGAATTGCTGGAGGAAACGGGCTTGAAATACTTGTGGGCAACACTCAGGCATCCCAGCATGGCACGGCTGCCTGCGCTGGGAGGAGTGACAGGGCAGAGACGTTCACTTCCATTTGAGCTTCGGTTTTCCTCCTCCCCTTAGTGCTCTGAGGGCCAAATTCTGCACGGGTGCAAATCGGCAGCTGCCCCATAGGCATCACTCATGTCACCGCTGATTTGCAGCAGAGCCAACGAAAGCAGAAGGTGGCCCTCAAAGAGGAAGAATGAAGCTTTAAATAAGTCATACGCGAGTGCGAAATGGCTCAGAAAGTGAGCCCGGCTGGCCCAGCCTGTCACTTAACTGCAACGCGGCCATGCCATCCATCAGCCCGGCCGGGCAGAGAGAAAGAAACGGGAGCTGTGCGGGGAGATAAATCAGGGTGGTATGTGGCATGCCGGCTAAACAGAGAGAGAGGGAGAGCTGCTCCCGGGGCTAGGTTTCGGCTCCCTTTTCCTAGCTGGTTATCTTGATGGGGAAGTCTGTTACCGTCTGAACGGGTCTTGCCTTGATGGAGGCAAAAGGCAGCTCCCAGTACAGTTGCACTGGACACACCAAAATGCCCGAGAGCAATGCTCTGCCGCTGGAGGTGCCCCCCTTCCTGGGCAGGGCTAGGCTGGCATTCCCCGTCATCTCCCTGTCACCTGCCTTTGAAACCTTTGGGAAAAGCAAGCACCTCTCAGGGTTAGCAGAGAGCGACTCCGAGCCAGGGCATCACATCACACAGACCCATTACGGTTCCTTACCTTGTCTTTCAGGAAATCTACCCCCGGGACCGGGGCCTTGTCTGCTGGCTGCCGGAGGAGCTGGGGGATAAAGAGTTATCGAGTTATCCCTCAGCAAGCAGGGAAGCCAAATGGACGTGTGCCGGCGGCGGGGGGTTCCCATTTTCACTCCCCCAGCGCATGCCCCAAAGCATACCTGGCTGGGCGGCAGGGCTGGGACTGGCAGCCAGAGGAGGAGGCCTGGAGCCTTGAACTGAATTGGCCCGTTTCACACCTAAAAGGAGAAGAACCAATGAAGGGGAGCAGGGGCATCTCATTTTCCAACGGATCGCCATGGAGCAAAGGGCCACTGAGAACATGTAAACGTGGCAGCGGGAGAGCCACAACAGCTGTTCAGTAAGAGATAAAGATTCAAGTCACTCGGGGGGGGGAGAAAGCCATGGTTGCAGTGGCTGGGAACAACCGGCCAACCACTCAGCAGGTGTAAATCAGCATGGCTCCATGAATTACCAGTGGAGGCTGCAGGATTTGTGCCAGCCAGGGGTTGAAGCCCACCCATTCATTTCTGCAGAGGAGACGCATCAGCCTCTCTCCTCCAGTGCCACTGCTGCGAGAAGTGAGGGTCGCCCCAACCGCACCACACCTGGCCCAGAGATGCGGAAAGCAAATTCACACCTAAAAAGAACATTTCCTAAAAGGAGATTTCCCCCCCATCCCCTCCAAGGGTGCCAATAATACAGCTGGAGACACTCTGCAGGCAATATCTAGTACCAGAGCTTAAAAATCCCCTGCGTGAACACGCTGAGCCTTTGGTTTACCGGCAGTCACCCCATCAAAGCCAAGGAGCAAAGTTATATAGTCTCCGGTCACGATGCTGGTCCAGGAGCCAGCCTGCGCAATGGCTCAGTCCTCCTGGGAAGCAGAAAGCCAAGGGATTCATACAGATCCATTGGCCAAGGGATTCATAATCTCAATCCATCCTGTGTGCTACTGAAAATACTCATCCAGCCCCTGCCTGCCTCCTGCAGCAAAACAACACCCATTCCAGTAGCCTCCCAGCCTCCCGCAGCCACAGAAACAGGAGCCCTAACTTTGGGCCTAATTTGAAATGTGCCTTAAGAGGGAGGGTGAAGTAATTAAAGCCTTGTTATGCCTAGCCGCTGCAGGAAAACAAACCGCTCGCTGCTGGACGGCGGCGCGCCAGGGAGAAGAGCGGCTTCAGCTCAGGGCTGCACAGAAGATAGAAGAACAACAGCCTTCGCTTGGAAAGGAGGGAAACTGGGTAAGCTATAATTAGAAGAAAGGGAATAAAGACGGAAACAGATATATGGGGCATCAGTGTGTGTGGGATGAACTGACAAGGAAACATAAACTGATTAGGAGCCTTGTTAAAAGTTATTAAGTCTCTCTCTCCCCTCCTCCAACACCCACTGCCAGGAAGGTTTCCATTTATCCCGCAGCTTGGCAGGAGGCAGAGCTACTTTCTCTTGCAGACACCTCCGCGTTTCTGGGTCACCTCTGAGCATGAAACCAGCCCCGGCCACGCAACACACAGGTCAGCGCCTGCTTCCTTCTCGCCTCCGAGAATAGGGAGGTCAGGAAGTGCTGAGAGCTTGAAGCCCCCCCCCACGGGTTAAGGAAAACGGGAGCTGTGGGCATCTCAGCACTGTCGACATGAAACGCAAAAGGTTTTCAAAGACCCCTAGCACCAGAAGCAAAAGCCGGCTCAGCCAGGCTTCTGCGCTGTTATATTTATAGGTGAGAAAACAAGCTCCCGTGTCTGGTGCACAGCTGGAGTCGGCTTGTATGGGATGTGAAAAGCAGGCGCTCTCCTTTGTCGCTGGCAGAGATGAGCTGTGCTACATAAAACGGGCTGCCGTGGCAGGAGGCTGCAGCTCGTTTGGACCTGCCGTCTGGTGGAAAAGCAGGCTGCTGGGAACGATAAGCGTTCAGCTGCTCGCCAGCCCCAGCCTGCAATCAGTCCCTTTCCAGGCACATACAGGCTCCATGTCAATATGTACGACGTACCAAGAGCCATCTCAACCAAGCATGCAAGCTAGCAGAAGCAAGTGCTGCTAGCACTGGTGTACCCATGGGACGTCAGAGATGCAGACTACCGAACTCGGCAAACCCTGGGGCTGCTCCCATCTGATCGCCCCCACGCCCTTCTGCTTTCCGGCCTGGTTATGATCTTCGCTGCAAATGGAGAGGCAGCGTGTGGAAAGGAGCACTTTCTCGGCAACAAATAGGCTCCCCCACTAGCTCCCTCTGCTCCCATTATAACCACGAGCGGGTCCTGATTAATACCCGTGCTTTCCATTTTAGACAAGAATCCATTGTTCCGTTTCTTTTAACCTCTAGGTAAGAGATGCATGATCCCCAACCAAAAGCACTCTTCAGGTCACGATCAAGAGCAGGGCGGGGGCGTGATGTGAATCACATGGGGCGCTGTGTCCTCACCCTGACTGGAAGACTATAACAGGAAAGCCTCCCTGTTTGGGGAAGCATTTAAGCACATGCATGGTCACACTCGATGCAAGACATTGTATGCCGTGTTCGCCTAGTCCCTGGGGGCAAAGGGTACATGCAGGCAGGTGTGATCTGGACAATCTTGCCCAGGTCTCGCGATGCAGTCCCTGTAGCCTCTGGCTCAGTAAAACAATGAACTGCCAATAGACTGCTGTACCTTATGGTCAGTAAGGGCTGGAGTACCTGTGGGAAGTGTGGGTGTGATAAGTGAGCCCCTTGTACAGCACACTGAGGATGCCTTGATGCAGGATGGTTTTTCACATGGGCAGACTACCACCAGACCGGGCTGCTAGAGGGATGAACAGGGAAAGCACAGCTCGGTGGCTTGCTGGCTCCTGCCTGGCCTGCAGACCAATCCACACCCTTCAAATCCAACTGCTGCAACTTTGTCTACTCCAGATGCGACAGAGCTTCGGCCGCACTGGCACCGGCTACGGGGAGGACATGACTGGCACCTCCATCCACGGGCTATTAAATATTCCTTTCCTATACAAGGAATTACCGAGGACTTGAATAGTCTCCAGCGGTGTGTGGTTTAGCAAAATAAATCTGCAAAGCTCAGCTCTCAGCTGAAAGGCAGCCTCTGAAGCTGCTTTCCAGCCTATAAAGCCACCTACAGAGGACTCTGTCCTCGACAAGCTCAGGCATAAGCTGTCCGTCATCGGGTGTTAGTGGAACCGCTGACGACGGCATGGGGCACATTCAGGTTTCGTGGAGCATCACCCAGCAGAATCAGTGCCACGGCCTCGATAAAGGGAGCTCTGCAATCACCCTGTGCAGAGGTCTGCAGCTGCCTCAGTTCGTTACGGTTGCAAACGAGGAGCCTTCTGAAGCCACATGTCTGGTGTGTCATGGGCTGTCACTGGGGTGCAAAACCAGGCCCCTCAGTAATGCCAAGGCAGAGCTCCAATACTCAAGCCAGATTAGCACCTCCCATTAGCTGGTCCAGCAACCCAGGCACTAGAGTGGACTGGGACATACATACACACGTGTGCACACCTACCCGCACGCCCACACACACACAACCTCGACTCTCCATTGCTTCCTCTCACCTCCGGGGCTCCAGCTGACCTCGCTGTCCGCAGAGTACTCCCAGTGGTCAGGCTCTCCGCCAGCATACTCGCCACCACTGGGGCCCATTCTGGCCTCGGACGGCTTACGGCTCAAAGGGGGGTAGCTTCCTCTCCCAGGAGCAGCCGCCACCGCTTCGCCACCTGGAAGAACAGCAACAAGCCATGACGGTGAGAGGCGCTCGTCTCTGCCCCGTTTCTAACCCACCCCGTGCTCCGCTATCGCCTTCGGCAGTGAAAGGAGCCCGCTGGAAGTCATCCAGCTTGGGGGTCTTATATTTTTATTCCCCATCCTGATGATGGTTAGGAAGCCATCACAGTGTTGGGGAATGGCAGCGTCCAGCCTCATCCACAAGCACAGGATGTCCTGACAAGCGCAGGAGTAATGGAAACCAGCCGAGGGAATGGGACAGCAATGGGCTATCACAGAAAAGACCACAGAAATGAAGCATCAAGCCCACTGCAGGTAGCCCCAGTTCGACGTCACCCAGCTCTACAGCAACATCTGCTTATTTGTTTCCTGGAGCCACAACGCCCACGCAGCCAGCCAAGAAAGCAGGCAGCTGTTAGCAGCTGGCACAGCAAAGGCGGCCGGTGGAGACGGCACTTCTGAGGAACAGGATGACATATGACTCATCCCCTCTCACAGGAGGGTGAAAGCCAACAGCAGGAGATCCACGCAACCCAGCTGGCTTCAGTGACGAGATCCAAGCAGATGGCCTTGCCATGTGTCTCAAGCCTAACCATGTCGTTAGGCAGATCTGGAGAGAAGCGACTTCTTAATAGACCCTCGCTCCACTTGCTGCTGTCCCCAGAGGAGGCTGTCTTCCCAGGCGAAGCGCTGCTTTCCCTTGTCTTCCCCTGCCATTAGCTTCACTTCATGCCAGAGGTCTTAAATAGCATTCGGTATTTTGAAATGGCCAGGGCAGGTGACATCAGAAAGGGCCCAGTGGGCACCCAATGAGTTATGGGTTAATCTTATTGGAGATGATTGGAAGAGCAGAGGAGTATGTCTTTGAAGGCAGCAGGCTGGTGCCCACACTGAGGTCTCTGTTTCTGGGCTCCTCTCTTGTTCACTTTCTAAGCGGTGCCCCTAAAGATAGGGGGGCAGACTGCCTCACCAATATTTGGGGCACTTTTTTTGCACACGTCACAAAGATGCTGGTGACAACGCGCAGCAACATCGCCACAAGAAACCTACAGCAGCAACAAGCCCGATGCTCAAAGAATGGGAGGCTGCACCCATATAACACACAAGACTGGCTGTAACACCAGTGCATGGGTTAGCAAACTCAGGCCTGCTGCCGATACCGGCCTGGGCTTCAGGTACCTCTAGGTCAGTACCCAGGGGATTCAAACGGGCAGTGACAGGACACCTCCAAAGGTACAGGGGAGGAAGCATCAGAGCAAGAGTCAGCCCTTAGCAGAGTCACCCAAATTCAAACCACTTGGTACATGGCCAGCTGCACGTCCCAGTCCATCTGGATGCAGGAATCACTCTGCACAATTGATCTTACCTAGGATCCAGAGGGAACAAACTAATGGGAAAAGGGAATGAAAGAACCAATAGGAAGTAAAAAGAAATACACCAGGTCAGCAAGGAAATGGGAAAGCAAATAAAGGAAACCATAAGTCTTAGGGTCTATAATGTGCATCAGACCCTGAACAGAATTACAACCCGACTATCTGCAATAAGGAGGTGCGACATGTTTTTTCTATCACCTTCCATTTAAGGAGGGGACCACAATCACTGTCTCTGCCTTTCGCTGCCATTCATCTGGTGCCGGTGGTTTGAGTAGATAAATTACAGCCCCACTCGTTGGCATCCCGGTATCTTCTTGTTGATAAATTGCAACGCGCAGCTGTGATGCAAAAGGGCTGAGCTCTTACCTGGCTCCTCCCGGAGATGCCAGGTATAAATCTTTCATAGGACATAAATGGTGTGTTTACCCTTGGATGAATTGTCAGGGTCACCTCGCACAAGGAGACAGTTTAGCAACAGATGGGGGCTGCTTTGTAAATGCAGAGGTACTTATTGTGGGGAAAAATGTGCCTCACACAGCGGGAGGCTTGTCACTCAAGAATAGCAGCCTGATAAATGACATGCAGAGGCCAGCCTTGGGAAAATCATTGGCATACTAAGAGCATGCTGATAGCCAGAAACGGCCGGGTAGAAAGGTGATAAATGGCCACATAGTCACTGTGCAGCTGACGGTTTAATAAAATAAGGGTGTTTAAGACGCTGTCTCCACTGGAAGGAAAAAGGAACAAGTCGCAGCCATATTTGAACAGGGTCAATGCCTGAGCCAACCATTCCCATGTCTTTTTTGGCCCAAAAGGCCACCATTAACCCTCAAAGTTTCTCGTGCATCACCGTGCACCTTTATCATCAAACTTTTGAAAGGGGGGGCTTCATGCAATGTGCAAACCACTTCCCATGGTCTCACAGACCATGGACTGGGAGCCCCTGGACTAGGGGACTACATAGATGGTCTCCCGGACTACTGTGCATGGTGAAGGACACCATTACAGTGCTTAACACTGCTTCATCAGTGGCGGGCTTGGTTTCGATTTAAGCCAACCAGCCCCAACACCATGTCATTCCTGTGGGAGCAGAGGTGCTTGTTGCCTTTGTAAGTGAGCCAAAGTGTAAGTTGGGGCCTCTCTTAAATGCTCACCTACAACCCCCAAGGTCTTGTCTTCCCTACTCTTCCAAAAGGGAGACAATGGTGACCTGGCTCGTGTCTGCCTCCAAGAAGTGGGACGACACCAGGCCCTGCTGACATCAGATGCGTCCTGAACCATCAAGCCCATGGCCAGCCGCATCAGCAAAGCCCAGCTGGGGGTCAGCGAGTGAAAGCTAATGAACTAGTCCCCTCTGCGGTGCTCCTGGGGTCACCCCAAGTGCCGGCTGTCACGCTCCTCTGCCCTTCCATTCAGAGAAGCTTTAATAAGCTTCTCTGAGTGCTTATTAACATAACAATGCTTATTGTTCAGCACCAATAAAACCCCAAGGCCGAGATAGCCAAGTATTCACTGCTGACAGGACCTCCTCAAGCCCCAGAGGATGCTCGCTGGTGCATCACTGTGCCACACTCCCTGGGGTAGTCCTTGCTCCCAGGTTTACCTGCTTCTGCTCTTTGTCTCATCCCCTTCCTTCCTCTGTAGGCAGCCGGGCTCTCCTCTTCTGAACTGTAGCCACGCTCAGCATCATGGCTGGGCTCCCGGGGTTTCACTAGAGACCAACACAAGGAAACTCAAATTAAAAAGACTCAGCCTGGTCTTGGTGCAAAGGCAGCAGTCACGGTACCCCAAGCAACAGGCAATCCCCATGGAATTAAAAGGCTAGACTGCATGCATACTGCTGCACAATACTGGGTGGGACCTGAACGGCTCAGCTGCAGGTCCAAAACCCTGTACAGCCAATTGCTTTAGCTTATGTATTCGGGAGCCTGTCGTGGCAGGAGCGTCTGAGTTCTGCCCTGCTACCACCACGGGATCCTGAGCTATCGCTGTGTGCCACGCAGAAACGACTGCAAAGTCCCGGGGAGCGGTGGATTTGTTGCGGGGTGATATGTGCCTTCAGAAATGAAGCCCGGTTTCAGTAACCAATAAACCAAGCCTCCCCAGCTATTGAAAGCTATTTGACAGCTCCGTTATATTTGGCACTGCAAATTCTGGCTCGGCGATACAAGAAGGGAGGGAAGGAGGAGGGGGCAGGAATGGACCCAGCGACAAACCTGGCTTCCTGCCTGTTGCTCTCTTCTCCTCCGAGCCGCCTGTGGGGGAAGGGAAAAGGTGAGTGTCTGCAGCAACAGGGTGGTACAGGCTCTGCTCTTGCATGGGTGGCCAAAGGCAGGGAGCAGCTCTCAGCCGGCTGGAGCCGTGCTGATGAGTTACCATCTGCCGCTCTGCAGCCGCAGCCACTAGCCAGCTAATCATCATCCTGACAGCCTCAATCATGAGGGATGGATCTGGCGATGATGTGGGTGTCAGGTAATCCTACAAGGTGCAAGCAGTGATTCAGATATGCAAAAGGGGGCTGTTATTCCAACTGCAAGTCTTCTTGAAATGACTATGACAGCATCCAGCCAGGAAATGGAGCTGAGGACATTTCTCACGGCCCCCCAGCAAGGAGGGGAGCGCAGTGTGATGTGGAGCAAGGCCAGAAGGAGCCGGGATGCAGCAGGCTCAAGGAATGGTTTCACCCCCTACCTGCCCCCTAGGCCAGGAGCCTGGGGCTATTTGATGTATGGCCCGTGAGAGGTTAAAAGTCACTGCAAACCAGTACACAGGAGTCACGTGAATACCACCACGGCTTTTCAAGCAACTCCAGCTAGCACCGGTGAAGCATGTTTCACCATCAAAGTATTATAGTCCTTCATCTACCCAAGCCATAGGCTTAGTTAAACTCTCTTCCAGCAGCTGGAGAAAATGAAGGGTAACTATCCATACCCAGTAATCAGGGAGGTTTGAACCCCAAACTCCCACATTAGGGAGATAAGACTTTCACACCTTCAGCTGGTATCTGTATTAAGCTCGTATCTTCTCTGTGGACCAGCCAACACTGGGAGATAATTACATGCCAGTTCTTGGCGGTATTATCTTAAGTGTCTTCCCAAAGCCATGGAGGAAAGCAGCCCTCCAAGCCTGTGGCCTGACCTCTTCTTCCCTAGCGATTGGCATTCACCCACTGCAAATTCACCCTCTTTAATAACACAAATTAAATAACCTGAAAACACAGTGAAGAGCATGTGAATCCACATGAGGAAATAACACCTCCAAAACCAATTCAGCTCAACTCGTTAAATTACAGCATTTCAACCGAGGAACGTACGGGAGGTGGGAGCACACCAGAATAGCTGAACTCCTGCAAGGTGGGTGAGCGCAAAGAAATCCTGCGATGTGACAGGCTTCCCACAAGTAAATTACGGGCCTAGCCAGTGGCACTGGATAAGAAAAACGGCAAGAGAAAGCACTCTGCCTCTTCATGTTGGTAATTGCTTTATGATGATGGAGTCTAATGGCCTGTGTTATGCAAGAAGACGACTAAAAAATTATAGGGATGCTCCAGAAATCTAGCACTCTTGTGACATGAGATCAATCCAAAACCCCCCCAATCAAACTTCTCCCAGACTTTAGGACTTGAGATCCAGACCTGAATTTTGAAGACCTGACCCGATCTGAGCCATCGCTGTGGATGCAATCCCAACATCCCCCCGGCACTCAATAGTGCCACGAGTCAACAGCCTCTTTAGTCAACAGCAAGGCCCAGCCAGGCTCTGCGAGGGGCTGCTGGACCCAAAACAGCACCTTGCACATTTCCAATTTGCCGATTCCTGCTGGGAGCAGGTTTCCAGGCAGGTATTGTCCCCCACAGCCTTGCGAACAGCATGAAAGAGCAGCCATGCATGACATTAATCCTCTTACCGTAGGAGTCCTGCTCAGGGGGGAGCCCTGCGTCCGCAGGACCTGCAAAGCACAAACAAGTAGCAATGAGCGGAGAGGAAATTTCTACCGACACAGCCAGAGGATCGGTGACAGGCACCCTACTGCACCCCTCCCGGCCTAGCGCTGCGGGAGCACCTCCTTCAGTCAGTTTGGGACACGAGTAAAGGTCCATCGTCCCACTCTCTGAGACCAGGTGTATGGCAGCACCGTCTGCCGCTTGCAGGGAGTCAATATGTCACAGATCTGCAGCATTATGGGCTTGATGGGCAGAGGAGCTGAGGTTGGAGAAGCTGACCCTACTGTTCTGGGAGTCTGCAAGGCTTTCTGCACCTAGCCAAGACCAGAGTAGGTGTGGAAACCAGTGAAACCTTGTCTCCACTATGTGAAGAAATATCCCACGGGTTCAGGCTACACGTGAAAACGTGCTGCTAAGGTCCTGGGAGAGCCTATCCCCAGGGGTCACCCCTTAGCTGTGCCTCCCCGCGATGAGGGTTGCAGCTCCAGGACAAGCCTCCACTCCCAGGTCTTCATTTTCCCGTGCTGGACTCCAGCAGAAATCTTCAGCCTCAGGGAGATTTCTGCACTTAAATGAGCAGACGCTTTTGAATGCAGGATGGGGGGCAGAGGGAACCGCTTTCCCATATCCTTCCCGAAAAGCCCATCACCAAAATGGAAACAAAACCTAGCGTGGCCTCCCGAGACCGCGCGCCAGACAGCTGGCTTGCTGCAGGCATGCTCCAACAGCCCATTGATCCCCTCTGTCTAGATGGTTTCCCTGGGGTTTCTTTTTCTGTAACTGCTGCCATGCCAAACCGTTCACAATAATTCACCTTCCCTGGGTGCCTCCCAGACATTCGCACTAGAAGGGCTGGGTGTCGAGGGGGAGAGGGTTACTGCTGCGACACCCCCCAAAGAAGGAAAAGCTGTGGGCGGATAAGGAGACATAACCTACAATGGCAACGGGTCCGTGCTCTGACTGCCGGCCCTGTTCACGGAGGGCTGGACACTACAAATCATCACACTGCCCTGCCAGTGTCGGCCCAGGACTCTCCCAACTTAGAGGGACTGGAGTCAAGATGGGAGGATATGAACCCAGCCCCTACCTCGACTCTGCATGCGAGAGTACAGCTTCGGGTCCTGAGCGGACGGCTCAGACAAGGCCGGCTCGCTAGGAGCTTGCGGCGGCTTGCTCTTGCTGACAGGCATCGGCTGCGGCAGCACCTGCTTTGGCAAGCCCTTGAAGAACCAAGCCCCAGAGCGCTTCCACACCTGGGGAAGAAGAGGCAGACGGCAATGAGGCACCCTCAGGAGGACGGCACTTTCTTCTCTCTCTCCCTAAAATGAGGTTGCAAATAGCCATCCCTATGAAAAGGTTCATCAGCTCTCCGCCTGGGCTTGGGGCCTGGTTTCTGCTCCCACGGGTGATGAGTGGAGCTTCTGCATAATCAGCCTTGGCGTGGAGTTAACTCTCTGACCTGTTCACGTCGTGGCTTCTTCCTCTGAACTCATTCTCCAATTCTTCAGCATAGCCAGCCCCTTTCCCCCAGGCCTTTCCAGCCCTGACACCCAACCCACCCATATGGACCTCACCCCACTGTGAGCTAGGATACATCGCCTCCACCAAATGCTGCCCAAGAAATAACTGGCTCCTTTTACTCCAGATGTCACCAAACTCTCCCCATAAGTCCAGCCAGACTCCTTCTTAGCTCTCCCTTTAAACAAGCACCTTGCTACACAGCACATATAACCCTCCGCTCTTGACTGCAGCCTGATATGAAAGGAAAAATCTCTGAATGACCAATTCAATTGTAACCCATGGTACCAAGGCAAAACGAGCATTTATGGGGCTCGCCGCTATGAACTATTCTACAGGACAGGAGGATATTTTTTTTCCACAGTTATAACAAGAAAAGAGGCTATGTTTCTTAGGGGGGGGAAATCTAGTAGTTGTTTCCCATTAAAAAAAAAAAATAAGGCTGGCCCTATTCATACAGGGAAGGCCCTGTCTGCTGATAGCAATTCCCCTTCCGACTGGAGTTTGCCCACAGAGTTAAGGCAGGATACGGGATAGAGAGATAGCAAGAAAACCTAGTCTGCATTAAATGGCTGGAGGGGAGAAGCTGGCCCTACCTCTAAGGACCCAGCCACATATTCAAATTGAAGCTGGACAAAAACCAGCTATAAAGTTTTTGCACATTTTCAAGCACTAACTTGGTGCCTGTTTGGCTCTTTTTACAGCTGGATGGACATTTTTATGGCACGATAATTACTTTGCACCTATGGCTGGCCAAAAATGATAGCACGATTAACCATTTAATTGCATGATAATTACTTTGCACGTGTGGCCAGTCTTACTTTGCACGTGTGGCTGGTCTAAATGTATTACACAATTAACCAGTGAATGGCGTAACATATATAACATGTGGCAAGGGCCTCTATCCACAGCCTGCTGGGATGCCTGGGGAAATCTACTCAGGATGGATGTTTTAAGAGCCCAGCTCCAGCATGGCAGTACCCCGTCTTACCTTCTTGCAGGCTAATGGCAAAATATGCTTAGAGCAATGATGTTGACTTCAAGCCCCTGTTGACTCGGGACTCGCGGAGCAGCCCAGCACCAGGGAATCCCAGCCACGGGAGATAACGCATGAAGCAGCAACCCAGGAGCTACGCCAGCCGGGGAAAAAATCACTAACCTCCCTCTGCTCGCTGCAGATCTTGCACAGCCAAATCGAATGAGGGCGAGTGTTGGTCGTCTCAATCCCACACTTGGTGCAGACGTTCTGGGAAGGAAACAGAGCGCATGCCCACAGCATAGGAGAATGGTGACTCACTGCAGCGAACTGGGCACCACCGGGGATGTCTCATTCAGAA